TTTTTTTTCTTTTAACTATATAAAGAAAAAGTACTGAACATTAAAAACAGTTTTCCCTACAGTATGTGATAACCATGATAAATGTTCTGAAACATTTATTATTAGCCAATGTGTTTGTAAAATATAAAAGATGGGGTCACATCAGGTAAACAGATGCAAAACATGTCAAGCCTTAAAATTGCATGCGCCCGAGAAATTGCAAAAAACTGCAGGATTGCCCATAGGCAACGTTTTTAAAGCTTTTACCACTCATCAATTTTGTGTTAAAGAGGAACCTTACCCATATTTTTGAAATGACAACAAATACACCTGTAGAAATGTTTAGCAACGACAATCTACAAACATATACATCTAGACATTTGCAGGTTTGTATTCTTTGCATACCTCATTTTTCTTTTTCTGTTCCTCCCTATTCTTCTCACAGTGACCATTTTTACTAAGGGCAGATTAATATATCTCCCTTTACTTCCTGGAACTCTGGCACATGTGACTGGGAAATGTGACCATGCACATCATCTCAGGGAAGGAAAATGCCTTTCCCTGAGATCTCGTGACAGATGAGATTTCCCAGCAATGCACTGCTGATGTAACCTTCCCAGAATGCAACACTAATGCCCAAGAGGACCAGGAAGTGGGAAAATAATAATTAGTAAAAGAAAAATATATTTATTTAACTAATGAATTGTAAAAAACATAATAATCATATAGGGAATTATGTATGTATGTAAACCTAAATGATGATTGATTTTCTATATTTTAATCCGTCCAAGTGTGGAAATGCAGTTTAACTGAACTTCTGATTTTGAGTTACAAATGATAATTCAATCAGTAAGCCTGACAGGCAGACTGTAAGTATAGTTTAAACAGCTGTTAGGAATGTCCAAAATGGGATTGAAGGATGGAAAGAGTAGTTAAAGGAATATACATAAGTCAGGACTAAGAGTATGGAGCTTCATTATGCTAATGTGAATGACTTTTAAGGTAAACATTTAATAGGTTATTTTAAAGTAGAAGATGGATATAAGGACGGGGGATGGTCCTTCATGGAACTCACAGACACTGACACACTTACAAATGGACTCACAATGCAGACACACTCACACAAATACTCTAAACTTTTACAAGAACATACTTATACACTAACATAACTATTTTTATATTTTGTTAAACACATTTTATTTTCAATATTTTTATTGAGGTTTTGTCAAAGAACAAAGGAAAACCGTACAGTACAAATTACATAAAATAGAGCTGATGAATACTCCCAGAGAAAGCATAACAGATTGTATACAGTACCGAGAAACACACAGATAAATGAATGAGGGCGAGTGGTTCGTAGGAGTATGTGACAACCAACTAATGTGTCGGACCTCAACAAAGAAATTTTAAATAGTTACAATAGGGAGGGGTATGCTACTTGTATAAGAACAATACAAAAAAGAGGGGGGGGAAGAGGGAGACAAGAGAGAAGAGTGGGAGAATAGTAAAGAAGGAAAGGAGAGAGAGAAATAGAGATATATGGTTCCGCACGTAGAGCAATCCCGAAAAACTGTGATTTGATGGGGTAATGAAATGGCGGAGATGGCGGGATCTCAGAGTGTTAACAGGCGCGATCGAAGCCCAGGGGTAGGCATCGCAAGATCCATGGATCCCATATCTTTTGGAACTTTGCCATGGACTTACATCACAACAATATGGTTTGGGTCTCACTGACATCTGGCTGTCCCACGCACTCCCAGTGCGATAGTCCCAGGATTTCCACTGGAAATACAGTCCTCAGCAGCTTTCCTCAGCTCAAGGCCTGTTAGTATTCACCCCTCGTGGGTCACCGTCTCTCTCTGTCTCCCCGACAGGTATCTCAGGGTCACCAACCCTCTGGACCTCTCCAGCCTTCCTGTCTGTGTCCCTTGTGCTCACGGACACAGCAGAGTCTGCCTGCCATCGTGTGACTCTTGCACACCCACAACTCTCCCCTAAAGCACTGGGCTGGCTTCCTAATAAGGCTGCTCTCAGCCACCTGTTCAGCCCAACCTGGCCACTGGCAACACCTTGCCCCAGGACTAGAGATCCCATCCCACTATAGTCTGGAAAACCTGGAAGGAATTGAACAGCCAGTTCCTCCTATGAGAAAAGGAACAAAAGAGAGTGCCTCCATAGTGTAAAAACGTTATTTAATAGTAAAAACACACAGCTCTAAGGCTGTACTTACAACAGTTCGGTAGAATTAAAACCAGTAGAATAAGGTGAGAGGACGGAACCCCTGGCAGGGAGAATCTGGAGCGATGTAAAACACCAGTAACCTCGATCCCTGTATTGATAAATGGTTCACGCGTTTCTGGGGCACGCCCCCTTCATCAGAACCAATGAATGAACACCCCCTGTATCCTGCCTTAAATCTTTGATGGAGAGGGTCACATGGGATTTTTAGTCTAATCATCCAGTCGGTGTTGGAGGCTCATCTAGAGAAGGCAGCTGCAAGTGATCTCTAATTACTATTCAGCTCGAGCTAATCCACAATATAATGTCATACATGGAATGGACATAATGTGGATGCAATAACCGCCTAATTGACATAGATCAGCTCAGAAACAAGAGTGTGTTTCAGACTGATTGTGACTATTACTTTTAAATATTCGTCCCCATAGGAGTTATCGAAGCTTGGAAAATAAAAACACTAAAGCTGTCTCTAGATGGCCTTCACACTCACCTATGAAAATGGTGGAACAATGTATCTATTTGAAAAAAGGTGATATAAGCCCAGCATTTAAACGAATTTCGATAACAGAAACCCCTACTGTCTCAAAGTAATTATTATAGAAAAATGGATGTAATATATTCGAGTTATTACTTCAAGTGATTACTATAAAAATGGATGTAATATATTCAAGTGATTACAACAAGTGACTTGTGATGAGAAATTCATCTTATGAAAATTATTAGTGTATAGAATAAATTAATATATTGCACATATCCAAAACCCATAAACCAATTCACATACATTCGTCTTTGGCTGGTAGATGTTGGTGTTCACCAATAGAGCTGGATGGAAACCAACCATAATGGGAATAGTCCCAGCCAACAAAATGCATTGAAACTCATAAAAGTGTGTACTATCATCCACTAGTGCATAAGTGATCTAGATATGACTTATAAAAATAATGAACATAATATTCAACATCAACAACCACAATATATGGATGTCAAAGTAAAACACCTAAATTCTATAAAAACCACTACTAAGAGTGGCACCGCTGTCGAGCACATATGGATAAACACACGCATTCACATCCCCAAGTGGACATTTCTAAAAGAATGTAGAATGTGTGTGTGTGTATATTCCCAACCCCTCTAAATGAAAAAAAACAACAAATGAGCGAAAAAATAAATAAACAATAATTTTCTTCTTTTTTTTCTTTTCTCCCCTTTCCTTTCCCCCTTTCCCCTCCTTCTTCTCCTTGTTCCTTTTCCTCCTTCCTTCCCATTAAAGTGCCGATGCCAATTCCATTCCCTTATTCAATCCCAACAGAAAGCAATCTGTGTGCCTCGCTAACATAATCCTTACGATCCTGGATCACCAGCCCTCCCCCCTTGTCAGCTTGTTTAATCACTAGATCTTTATTTTTACTAAGGACTTGTACCGCATCAAATTCTTTTGGATTCAAGTTGTATACCTTTTTCCTCTCACAGAACAGATCTTTTTAAATTCCATAAGGACCAATTGGTAAAAGGTGGTGATGAGGTCACCTTTGGAACTGAGAGGGTAGAAATTGGACTTGGGCTTAAAGTGTGTATGAAGAATATCGGGGTCACAACAATTGAGTGATTCTAGTTTGAACTCCTCACCATCCCAGAGCTCCCCCCAAAAAAGTAAATTATCATCATTAGAGTCTTCAGCATTAATGGTAACCTCAGGGATGCTGGTGACTTGTGAATGGGGATTTTTGGCATCTTTAATAAGAAAATGACGATGTAACGTCAATTTTCTGATGTATTTATGAAGATTAAAAAAAAGCAAAAATTCATTGGGTGCAGAGGAGGGTGCAAAGTTTAACCCTTTTTGAAGGATGGCAATTTCATTTTCTTGCAATAGATGACTCGAGAGGTTAAAAATCTTAACCGTATTGTTAGCACTATTGGTTGCTGCAGCTAAAACACTGTTTTTCCTTTTTTGTTGGACCTGGAGTCCTGCTCTGCATCCTCTCCTGTGTCTGGTGTTCTTTTGATTTTTGCTTTTAGAGTCCTGAGGTCCAACAAAAAATCGTGGTGAGTATGAATGGCCTTTCCCCCTTCCAACAGGTTGTTGGAAGGTGGGCCATTATGTTTAAGTTTGGTCCCAACTCTCTCCCATTCAGCTGAACTATCTCGTTGTTCTAATTCTATAGGAGAGGTGTTTCTCTGAATGGACAGGATGTGATCTTCATCTACAATGTTGTGTGTTGAAGGACAAGATTGACCTGGGGGTCTATGTTCCCCAATGGACCCCGTCTGGTACTGCGGGCTGTGGACCTCAGAAATGGTATTACGATTAAATTAATTGGAATAAACAGTTCCCTCCCTTGAGCGATTGTGTGCCCTATAACCTTTAGTGGCTTGCCCCTCTGTTTGGGTTCTATAATTGTGGGCAAAATAATTTTTGGAATGTT